TGGGCCTACTCTATCTGCAACATACTATGCTAAAGCAAACCAGTTAGAGCAGGCTGATTTGAATTAATGGAGCTTATAGAGGAGTTGACCCACCAAATCCCCACTGACTCCATAGGCCTACTCTAACTGCAACTTACTACATGTTTACTAAGCAACAGGATTGTGGCCACTATTGGTGTTTTTAGAAGTCCCATCTGAAAGTTACGAACCCCTGGTCTGTGGCACAAGGGACTCTCTTCTTCCTGGGTGTCACGTCTACACCCACAACGGAAGATGGGGTGTAGCCTAAACCAATATGTGCAGGTTGACGGCTTTCTACTGTTTTTTGTGAGGGCACACTCACATAGCGGTAAAAGCAATTTAAAAAAAAAACTTTTAAAGACATTGCAAAAAGGAGCGGTTATCCTTTTATGTATTACACCATTATCACATAATGTAGCTATGCTTTTGTTGTTGCAAGAGTGGTTATTTCCGACTCATTGTTGCCAAACTTTGCATACCTGGCTCTTTTCATTTTGGACCACACAGTCTCTTTAGTAGGCTCCTGCTTTTCGAGAAGGAAAGATACCTTGTGATATTGTGCAGAGGTCTCCTTGGCGCATCAGGGTGAAGGGGGAAAAGGGAAGTCTGTGCTGAGGAAAGGGCCAGCTGCCATTTGGTGAACAGGGAGGGCAGGAATCAGGGAGCTCACCCCTTAAAACCACATGGGCTGGGCATGAAGGGCAGGCTGGAGAATCGCTGCTTTTGATACACACTTGTGTAATGTGCACCTTGACCCCTTCTTCCCTGCCTCTCGCCATGGTAACGGCAGTTTCCCAGCTCCCTTCCAGAACAGAGGGGGCAGAAGAGACTGTTGTGTGTGAAAGCCAGTTCCCTTGGCTTTTTCTGATGGGAAGCAGCTCAGAATTTCCAGAGGATACCTTTGCTGGCCAGCATGATCTGCCGCAGCAAAAGCACTAACAGCTTGTGGAACCAAAAGAGCTAATAGGTTTAATTTGGCTGAAGTTTTAACCGACGGTAGCCCATGTCGTTATTTATATCTGAAGAAGCATGCTGGAACCCCTGAGGTTGATGCTATACTAAATTTGTTGATCTCTAAGGTGCTAGACAGCTTCATTGTTTCTCTTTTTCACTGTGAGTTGGTGGCAGGGTGGGAGAAGAGAGACCCAGATTCAAACTGACCTGCAGCCAAGAAGCTCCTTACCCTTTACCATGGACTATGCTGGCCAGTCCAGTTTCATCAAACAACATCTGAGCATGGGAAGAATCATATATGCCTGCCTCAGCTTTTTGCAGGCAGAAACGGGTAGTAATATACAGTAATACATAAATGTGTGATCCAAATGATCATAGCTTGTCAGAACATACACATAGTTCTCACATTGTTTACTGGGAGGTTTCATCCCTACAAGCACAAAAAACAAAACAAAACACCACAACACATAAACCTGGTCAGCTAATGAATGTGTGATGTGTGAATAACTTGCCTTCTTTTTCAGGCTCAAGAATGGTCTGTTTAGAGACCAGCATGCACATCAGCTGATCCACTGAAAGGCCTTGCATCTGAGGTAATGTGAACGCTCAGGTAATATCCGAGGTGAGATTCTATCTGTGGCTCATTTAAACAGGCAAGCCTTGACATATTTGCATGCCCCAAGCAATAAACTTGTCTGTGCAAAGCAGGCCGGAAGTTTCCTGTTTCCCTTTTACGCTAGGCAGAACCCTTCAACAGATATAGCTTTATTTTAAGTGATGCTGTGTGTTTCTTGCTAGGGTTCTCTTTTATGCCTATCTGTGCGCTCTAACTAAGCACAAGTGAAAAGATGAATGCTGGAAATGCATCTTCCATTTCTTACTCTCTCACACAAAATGCTTTCTTTTGTTTCTATTTCGTCCTCAGAACACCTATATTTGGCCTAGCACAGGGCTAGGGAAGCTTTGGTCCTCCAAATTTTGGAGGTTGGGGACTACAACTCCCCAAAGTCCCAGCCAGCACAGTCAATAGTAAGGAATTATGGAACTTGTAGGCTAAAACACCTACAAGATGAACAGGGTGACAGAAGGAATCTTATTTTAGGTGTGTTCTTGATGACCTTGTAGCTTGCAAGCTTATGGAACATACAAGATCCTGAAGTCACACAACTGACTTCAAGATCTTGTATATTCTTCTTCCACACTACTGAGTAGAATTCCTGATCCAAGCTGCATGCTCTTCCTTAACAAGGTCCAACCACCTTTTCATTGCTGGAATGAGAAGCTTATTTAGATTTCCCTTCTTCCTGCCAAAATTTCGCATCTCAACCTCCCTTCTGTTCCTAAGTCCCCAAGTTTTTCCAGGCACAGCCGGTCCTTACCTTGCACCAAAACTTGGAGTTGTCCTTCTGTTAGGTTCCAGATGCCAAAACAGCATTGGTTGTGAGGGCACTGGACTGTACCGCTACGTGCATCTTCCAAGATTAAACCCTGGAGGTATTCCAGACTCCCAGTCAATGCATTGGATCCATAAGAGATGCAGGTACGGTTTTTACTCATGGTGCCTGTGCTCATTGTTCAGCATCTCAGCACTGACAACCAGGCAGCCAATCTCCAAAGTAAGCCGTGAGACCCTAACAGCACCTAAATGGTACGCAAAGCCTCCTCCAGACCCAGGTGGGAAGGACTTGGCCAGCTATGGTGTGTGGGATGGGGCTGGTTGCTGTCAGCTAGGAGCCGCAAGCAAGCCCAAAAGGGGACAAACTGAATCTCCAGTGAGTTGTCTGTAGTGCTAGCAAGTTGGGCTGCTTTTAAGGCATCATAAGGAAAAACATCTCCCACGAGGCCAGCTACATACATCCCAGAAAAACAACACAATTGCAAACTTGGGGGAGGGAGGGAGGGAGGGAGATGCTCTCTATTGCCCTAGCCTGGGATATTGTTGGCTAGGCAGGCAGGCCAAGGACACCAATTCAGGTTTTAAGGAGGTGTGACTTGAGACTGTGGGAGGTAAAGAACTGTCTGGAGGTGGAACAAGATTATCAGTAAGGTTTAAAGGACCACTCAGATTAAACTACAAACACACCTAGCAATATGCACATTGTTAGAGGCCCCATTTTGGTGTTTTTTTAGTTCAGACATCCAGACAATGCAACTGGCTACTGCATTCTTTACTTCCCCAATTTATGAAAAGGATTTGTGCCTTTGGCATACATATAATGTATTTATAAATGTTTAGATTTCTAGAACCAGATGATTAGCAGAAAACATGGTCTCGAAAAGTACTTCATGTGACTTGACTCCCTAGTCAGAGTGAGTGAGGTCCTTCTTTCCAACCACAGGCACACTTGTCTTTCTGTAGCAAGAAATTAGTGGAAATAAAATTGTATTCTTTCCATGTTCTATGCATAATTGGGTATTATAGCCTCTTGTATTCACAAAGAATTTGTTTTTCACATTTGTATTCCCATCACTCCTCCAAGGTGTGTGAGGTGGGATTTTCTTTTTATTTGGAGACAGGTGATACATAGTGATAAGGGCTTGTTTGCATACAAAAAGGCCCAGGTTCAGTCCCCAGGATCTTCAGGTCAAAGATCATGGCGAGTAAGGCAGAGAAATATTCTGCCAGTAAACTCAAAGGGCTGCTGCCATCTCCAAGTGGACCAACTGGGCCAGTAGTATGACTTGGTACAGCGTCCTGTTACCCTCACTCTTTCCCTGTAAGCTATGGGCTTGGTGAGGCCATCTGCTTTACAGGGAAAGTGAGCTGTGCCTCTAACAATATACCTATTATGGAAAAATAATGTTTTAAAATAATTGCAAGTTGCAGATTTGGGATAAAGCAAAGTAAAGCGTGCTGCTAATATACTATCCCAAAGTGCTCAAAGCACGGAGTGGTTTACAATTTAATTATGCAGGCTACACTTTGCTTCTCACCTACAGCAAGCTGGGTACTCAATTTACTAATTACTCTGGAAGGATGCAAGGCTTAGTGAACTTTGAGTCGGCTACCTGGCATTTAACATAGGTTGTGAACAGTGTTTTGGCTGCTGTACTGCAGTTTAACCACTGCATTGCAAGGCTCAGTGGTTAAGGAATCTAAGCATAACTGAAGAAGGATTTAAAACCTTGCATTAAAATTACCCAAAGCAACAAAAGGCAGTCAAAAGAATAATGAAACTTTAGGAACAGTTCATCTAAACTGACTGGTTACATTTGGAACTCAACATACTAGAAGCCAGAGGAACTTATCAGATACCTTTGCTGGAGATGTTACAATGCGCCACTTACAGAATATTCTTTGTGGAGGACAGAAGAATCCTATGGAGCCTTTTGTTTTTGTTTTTGTTTTTGTGTGTGCAGTCAAAAGAATAATGAAACTTTAGGAACAGTTCATCTAAACTGACTGGTTACATTTGGAACTCAACATACTAGAAGCCAGAGGAACTTATCAGATACCTTTGCTGGAGATGTTACAATGCGCCACTTACAGAATATTCTTTGTGGAGGACAGAAGAATCCTATGGAGCCTTTTGTTTTTGTTTTTGTTTTTGTGTGTGTGTGTGTGTGCCCACTTACAGAATATTCTTTGTGGAGGGCAGAAGAATCCTATGGAGCCTATGACCTTTTGTGTGTGTGTGTGTGTGTGCGTGTCCCACATTCCATATCCTTTTCTGGGCATTGACATATCACCATGGGACTGGATTTGGAATGGCATATCCCCCCCCCCAAGGGATATCACGCTTGTCTGAGCAGCCATGAACCTTGAGCAGATGAAATGGTAACATTTCTATTTTGCCAGCACAACTTAAAACCTAGTTTGTACTAACGTTTCTTTTCCAGAGTTAAGCAAGTAGAATGTTTCGACATGTTCCTGTTTTCTTCTTGTACATGGGTAAATGCCACTTGTACTACTTGGCTGTGTAAACATTTGTGCAGCTGGCATTATCAGTTGTGGCCAGCAACATGGGCCGTGTTGTTGCAGGAAGAATAGCAAAACATTTTCTCTAGACACAGCAGAGTTCTCCCTTTCCAATTCTCCTACCCATGATTACATCTATCTGTACACACTGAGAATGCAAAACACATCAGTGAAGATACCCAGTGCAGTGTAGTGGAGAGATGGAGAGACAGACTAGGACTCAGGATTGGGTTTGAATCTCTGCTCTGGCATGGAAGCTCACTGGGGATGGGGGTGGAACCGACCAAAACTCTCCTTAAATATTTCACTTACCTTGAAAACCCTATTAGGGTCCCTGTAAGTTGCCTTCTGATTAGATGGCACATAACAAAAACACCAGAGTTGTAGGCATTTGTATTTATCACTAGCAGGCCAAGCATTTTCTTTTTGCTAGAATCTCCGTATGCCACTGAGATGTCCTATATTTATAAAGCAAGATTGCAAACACAAGGTACTTTCATAAACATTAGCTATCAGCATAGCTCAGAAACTACAAATCTGTGGCACTCCAGCAATGGGAATACAACTCAGGTAATTCATTATCAGCCATATGTTTGAGTATATCCAGATATCACTGGCTAGGGGCTGATTGGAGTGGAAATCCAACACAGAACACCAAGTTTCCTTCTACTACTTGTAACTGTTAGAGGGACCACAACAATAAGGGCGAAATGTTGATTGAAAGCACCAATATCTTTATTTTCAAGCCAAAGGCCCCTCTAGTCCAGGATTTCCCCCCTCAAAATCCTTGCAATAAGCAGACATTAGATAACCCAGTATCAGTTGGCAAGTTGTCCAAAGTTTCATATACTAAAAAGCCCTAGTGTAGAATATAACATGCACTGGAGTATGTCTCTTCTAGTATCCATCACTTGCCATATTCTATATTCAGGAGCATCAAGCAATTAACACCCAGATTGGCTCCATTTTGCCCTCTGTCCTGGGTTACAAGAAAAATATGCACCGTCTGCAACAACAGCAGTACAATCCTCAAAACCCTACAGAAAAGTTATATAAATAATATACACAAACACTTCTGCAGAACTTGGCGATGATGATGGAGTTACTACTTCCCACAATGTGTATTCCCCCACCCCCACCCCCACTTCTCATATGAAGTTCAGTTTCTCTTTTCAAGTTTTATCTAAATCCAGTCATTTACAAAATGGAATTACAAAATGGTCTTCTAGTCTAATTGTTTCCACCTAATCCAGGCCAAAGAAGGTGGCAAAGGCTGTCCAGGGCTAGTCTGCTCAAAGCCTATCCAGTGCCTAGCTCATGAAGGCCACCCTTCAGAAGGAAGGAGCTCCACATTTGACATTAACCAGACACTCAGCTTTGTATTAAGCAAGATGAACCACTGTTGACAAAATGCATTTCATAACCCAACAGCTTATTCCTCTAACAAACCACTGCTACTTTGCTCATTACCTGTAGCCCAGCCTGGTCATAGGGCCATGTCTGAATATGACAGCTATATAGCCACACTCTTATGTCTAAGGAAGTGGACTTAATCCACAAAAGCTCACATTAAAATACATATAAGGTACCACGGTCTCGCTATCTCTTTTTCTTTGGCTCTTTGGTCTGATAGGCTGTACAGACCAACAGGACTACTCTGAGAGGTAAAAAGGTTCTTTTACAATCAAATGGCCAAATTCATGTAGGTGTTCACACAAAGGCTGTGTGAACCTGCACACACCATGGCAAACTGTAGCTAATTTGATAAGTTGCCAGGGCCTATCTTTGTGGGGTGCTTTGTCACTCAAAGGACTAGGCAACTCAGCCACAGCAAGTTATGCAAATACCAACAAAAATCCAGCCAATATAGCAATGCTGCCCCCTTGAGGTAATAAAAATGTAAAACAACTCTGAAATTTGAGCCAGGTACTGTATTCCATTCCAGACAGACAGTCAAAGCCTTACAACAAGACGACAACACTAGTCATGGTTATTTTCCATTTAGCTTTACAATCAGGTAAGGCGGCCAATCTCAGGTCACAGGACAGGTGCTGTGCATCCCAGGGACGCACTGCCAAGTGACAAGATTGCACTAGACAAATAAAACAGTCTGGTACTTTATGGAGTAGCTTTGTTGATAGTTGATCATAAGCTTTTAGTTTGTGCTAGCAGTGCAACCTGAAGAATGAAGAACTTGGTTTCTGTATGGGACAAGACCAACCACACTATGTTTTTTTTTACACACACAAGAGATGAAATGTATAAATGCAATGTGTTTGAAAAAGGAACATGTATGCATGTATTAGTAGGAATCCCAAAGGGCAATGTTAATACACAAGACTAATTATCATCATACACTCCTAAAAGGACATTTCCCCATAGCTATACACCATAGAAACTAGCCTCGTGAAACAAATATTTTAATTCTTCTGCTAGACCACCTGAAAATGTGAATTGCCAATAAATGTCAACCAGTAACATAAAGTAAGATGAGAAATGATTAAATGCTGCAGTTGTTCTGTAAGAATAGCTTTAAGCTCAGTATCTCACAATAAATGGGGAAAGGGATAGGGGGAAACATACGTAGTCCATATGGCCAGCCAAATTAAATACAAGTTCTATAGATACTTGTTTTATTTCTTTCATTTAAAAAATGTAATCAGTATACAAAGGAGCCAAACTATTTTAATCTTTGTACAAAAATAGCACTTTTTAAAAGTGTTCAGACATCATTACATCGGTAATTGGATTTTTTTTTAAAAAAAGCACATACATTATTACAAGATAAAACAAATAGTCTTTTACACAGATAGACAAGAATTATTTTATTGCCAGTGTTACAGCTTGGCTTAAGTGTCTGCAGAACTGTGCTGTGAGCACAAAAGAGAGAGCAAGAGAGAAGGAGAGAGACAGAGAGAAGGGAGAGAGATAGATAGAGAAAGAAAGAAAGAAAGAAAAGAAAGAAAGGAAAAAGAGAGCAAGAGAGAAGGAGAGAGACACAGAG